ATGTCGTAGTGCAAAGCACCGGAAATTTCGAAAGCCTGGTGTTATTTAACGTGCAGTTAAATCTGAGCACACGGGCCTACAGCGTTTTCACCTCCATCAAAAATACAGCCGCCAAAATCGGGATTCGTGACCACGACCTGCGGGTCAGCAGCTGAGTACCTTAGCCATTAGACCACCGCGGTGGGGCTTTGTTACATTCTGTTTTCTCATAGGTTCGCAGACGCCCTAATTTTTCATCGCTGTATAAAAAAGTAACTGAGAGAATTCATTATCTTCAATCTTGTATTAGCTCAAATAAAGCAGAGCTGTTTCTAGTTAAGCTTGTCTTGATACACCTTTCCCTTGTAATATTATCGTCCACATCTCGTTATTATAGCATGTTTATTTTTTTTCATAAACAAAAGAAACGACTGAATGGCTGATTTTATTGTACGAAGTACACATGAACTAATTGCTGCTTAGATCACTCAAATTAAGCTATATATTTCACACTATTTCATGTTTTGTGTTTCAACATTTCTGCTCAACTATTATTAACGGGACCTAAAACGGTGGAGCAAAGGTGGTGAAAACACGTGTGCGCTTACCAGGGCCTTCATGATTCCTCTTTACTGTACGTCGCTTGCGCAGTCGAAGATGAACGCAACTCTTATATATCTAATTCTTGTTTTCCTACATCAACATCGTGACGTCACTGCTCGCTCGTGGCCCACCACTCAACGCTCACGCGTGACTCTTTTGATAAACCAGAACGGCCACTTTTGTTTCCTTTAAAGTGTATAATTTGGCACTGCATTATGCTTCGCTGAGTCGGTGTGTAACACTGACCTCTGTTAAAAATATTGGAGGCCCCTGAAAAGCAGGTCATTGTACTACAGGCCGTAGAAGTCTGCATGTAATGTGTAAAACATTAATTGTGATTTCTCAGGAGATACGCATCATTGCCTTCTTTATTTTTTTCTTCCTTAGGTTATTCTGCTGAACTTGCGCAATTGAAAGGCTGAGCTGGTCGTCAGAACCGCGATACACTTCTAGAAAAATATTTTCAGTCTTCTTGGTTACCTATGTGAAACTGGAGGTGATATGGCTGTGACCAGGGTAACGTGACGAAGGCGTGTGCGTATCATGAATTTTTATTCAATTTCCTTTTGCAACTTCAATTTGGCTGTATGTAAGCCATTCAACCTCGGAGCAGTGGATTAACACAGCTTGTACAATGTGTCATTTATGCAGTGGCGTATATTTAGGTTCTCAGTAATGGACATCCTTGACGCAAATAACATACTTTGTAGAAAGAAGTCATTTCTTCATAACGTATATTGTATGTTTGCAAATTAATAATAAAAACTCATTTGAGAGTCGAAGACTTGAAGTTCCATGTGCGAAACTACACGCATAGATTTTTGAGGCTCCTGTTTTAGTGGAGTTATTTTATTAATTTGCGAAAAAAAATTTGAATAATTCAGCTTCAGCATTAAGAGTAGCATGCGATTGCGCAATTGGGTTCTAGGTGCATCATGTTCAACTGTGCTGTAAAAAAAGATGTTTGTGAGCGTAGCAATGATAGTTTGAAAGTTCTAGAGAATAGAGCTGCCTATTGATTCATTAGAGGAAGCTTTGGCGGAAGTGTCTAAACGGGAGCATCAGCGCATTGGGCATCAGCCGGCAGGGCAATGATAGGCAGTACACGGACTTCTCTAAGATTCGTTCCTTCTGCTCCATCAGGCTCCGTGACGCCTTGAGCTACTCTGTCCCAAGACGAAGTTCAGCAAATGTTTAGTACTTCCACTTCACCACCGTACCCTTTTTAGTCACTCCGTGAAACTGCTTCACTAAGTCCACACCACGCCATTTTTTTTATCCAAAACGACCACCCAATCACAGCTATGATAAGAAGTGCAGTGCCGACACGTGTCGAACTTCATTCACTGTTTTGTCTTACGTGACGCACCAACCGCCTACATATATGTATATATAAAAAATACTTCATTGTCAGCTAAATAAAGCTGCTTGGCGTTGGTTCGCGGCATGGCTCTGCTACTCTGGCTAGTTACAACAATGGCGACGAGGATGTGCCGAAGTGCCCAGCATTGCTACCACTGCCTTAACCGCTGCGCAGAAAGTTAGCGCCATGACCAAACCGGACGAAGCAGTGGTGTGCAGTTTAGCTGGAAAGTCACGCGAGTATCAAACCACCTCCAGAGAAAAGAAGCAACGGATTGCAGATTGCCTACGCAAGCTACAATCATCAAGCAAATGATCACCCGCGCAAAAGGGAGCAATGTTTTCGTTGTAGCATGGCAGGTTCATTCGCAAAAAAATGCCACGCCCAATCGAAGCTCAGGGCAGGATGGCACTACTTACGCTGTTCAAAATGAAAGCTCCGCATCGGAAACAGATGAAAGGGATATTTCAAGAGTGTTCACTGTACAAACGACAGAAGAGAAGCAACGACTGGTATACAGGCGTATTGACGGGTCATCCGTAGGGGGGGGGGGGGGGTGCTTCTGAACATGATCATTGATACAGTATCCCAATTTTTTAATAATAGCACAAGAAGGATATCTCAAGCATTGTCTGAGCTGGCCGCATTTGTCAAAATGCAAAAAGACGGTCAGCTGCTACCTACAGTCAAGTTGCACATTGTCGGTGAACAACAGCTTCAAGCCCAGTTTTTAGGCAAAGCTGTCCTTGTCACCCTGACCGTTACAGGGTGTTCTGGGGCGCTATGCAGGACGACGGGAACTCATCGAGAAGGCGAGTTTGCTCCGAGCTCGCTCTGCGTTGGCCATGGCATAGAGACAGTGCGGAAGGCGTGATATCAGCGTTGATGAAAATGCTTACAATAACCCGCGTGGCATTGGAAACGCATGTGGGACATCTTGCGGTGGTTATAAAAGAAACACCGTGTGCGGACACGTTAGCACCGCCATTCAGTCAACATTTTAACAGTGCAGCGACGTCGACGCAATTGTCGCGCTATCTTTACGTGCTATAGTATTTGTATAACTGGATACGACATGAAGGCCCCCTTCACAAATTCTCTGCGAGTTATGGGGCTTTCCGCTTATAACAAAACTGATGATATATTTTCTTGTCAACAATAAATTTATTTTTTATTTATTTATACTGTCAACCCTCACTTGAGGGTCATTACAGAGAGGGAACCATAGGATATGGAAAGTAAATACAGACATTGATATTTTCAGCAACTTTGAACAATAACACAATAGCATATTCATTGCTCGGCAAAGTAAACATCAAGAGCACATTCAAATTTTTTAACGTCAGAATTTTTGAAAATATGTCGCGGCAATTTGTTCCACGCTTCTATAACATCAGGGAAAAAAGATTTGCGAAAGACGTCCGTGCGAGCACCGAAGGGGCGAACCGCCGCGTCATGATTGATCCGGCTGCTGAGCTTATGCGGGGGGTGTACGTAAATTGTTCTATCTATTTTTATTTGACCATGCAATATCTGAAAAAATACTTTTAGGCGCTGCTTTTGTCGTCTAATTTCTAGAGATTCCAAACCACTTAGTTTTAACATCTCGGCAACCGAATCAGTCCTTTTATACTTCGAACATATAAATCGCGCGGAAACTCTCTGAATTCGTTCCAGTTTACCTAATAAATCCTTTTGGTGGGGGCTCCAGGCAGCACAAGCATATTCTAAAACAGGGCGCACAAATGTTTTATATGCAAGCAGCTTGACATCTTTCGTAGCATTCGGTAATTTAGCACTCAAAAAACGCAGTTTTCTGTAAGAGGCACAGCATACATTCTCGACATGTGCACGCCATTTCAAATCATTCGTAATATGCACTCCCAAATATTTAAACGCACACACCTGCGGTAAATAATTAGGTCCAATGCTGTACGTAAATGGTAAAACGTGTTTCTTGGTAGTTATATGCGTATATGTTGTCTTAGAATAATTTATTTTCATCTCCCATTTATCGCACCATGTTTGAAAATCATCAAGACAATCATTAATTACAACTTGGTCATTCGCACACGTCACTGGGGCATAGATTAAACAATCATCAGCAAACAATTTAATATTTACAGGAGGGTTAACAATGTCAACAACATCATTTATATACACCAAGAACAGCAATGGGCCCAACACGGAGCCTTGGGGCACACCGGAATAAACATCAAGTGATTCAGACTCAAACCCATCAATTCGTACCAACTGCTTGCGGTTCGTTAAGTATGCCTCAATCCACTTCAGGATATTTTCGTTTATGCCTGTTCGTTTGAGCTTGAAGAGCAATTTATGGTGGGAGACCTTATCGAAGGCTTTTGCAAAGTTTATGCATATCACGTCGACTTGTTCTCTGTTATCTACTGCAGCGGCAAAATCGTGGAGAGTTTCAACCAGTTGGGATAACGTGGAAAGCCCTTGCCTAAACCCGTGCTGTTGCCTACATATCAGCCCATTTGTCTCCAAGAAAATAGCCATCTGTTTGGCAATGACGTGTTCAAAAACCTTACAGCAAACACACGTCAGAGACACTGGCCTGTAGTTGGTAAAAAGCATCCTGTCGCCACTTTTAAATACCGGTTTCACAATGGCGCTCAGCCAGTCTTTTGGAAGCGAATGTGTCAAGAGTGATTTTTCCAAGATAATGACTAAGTAAAACGACATCCACTCCGCATACCACCTCAAAAACACAGTTGGTATTCCATCCGGTCCATTAGCCTTCTTTTCGTTCAAATTAAGTAGCTGCTGAAACACGCCCGCTTGATCAAATGAAACTGGATCCATGGCGCATGTGCAAGTATCGGCCATTTCATTATCTTCATCCGTGAATGCCATCTTTGTAAATACAGATTGGAAAAAGCGATTGAAACCATTAGCTATATCTTGTTTCTGGGTTACAACATCAGAGCCAACCGCGATATGTTCAATCGTTTCTTTCCGATCGCTCAAGTATAGCCAAAATTTTCTAGGCGAAGTGCGCAAGAACCCAGAAAGCGTTTCATTGAAGAACCTTTTTTTTTTGGACTTGGAGATTTGGATTTTCAACGCTGCTCGTAGTTGGGAAATCTGCTCAGAGTGGCCTTGTCTTTTGCGTAATCTCTTTATTTTGCGTTTAGTGTGGATAACATCTCTAAAGATCCAGGGGTTAGTCTTCCTTGTTTTTTTTTCATTCGAATGGGAACAAACCTTTCTATACAGCTGTTAATTTTCGATTTCAATTTCTGCCACAAACAATCAACTGGCTCGCTATCAGAGGCTTGCTTGAAATCATCAAAAGCAGTTCCCAAAAAGTCTAATATTGACGTGTCATCTGCCCGGCCGTAGTCACTAACAGGCACCCGAACGAAGGGTCGTTTTCCAGTTTTTGTACCACATAGAATCTCAACCGAAATCAGTTTGTGGTCAGATATGCCGTCTTCGACCGTAACACTGAAGTCCTCCATAGTGCCCGAAAGGAATACCAGGTCCAGCAGTGACTGAGAACCCGATGTTACTCTAGTGTCCTGTTGAACAATTTGGGTTAGGTTATGGCTGATCATTATTTCAAATAACTTTTTGCTGCTAGTAGCATCCTTATTACCGGCCGATAAAGAAATACAGTCTATATCTGGTAGGTTAAAGTCTCCGGCCAGGACTAATTTTGTTGTTTTGTTTACATTTGAGTTCAAAAACGTCTGAAGGTCTTCCAGGAACTCGGGCGAAGTGGCAGGTGGTCTGTATACGGCTCCGATAAGGTAATTGGTGTTCGCGTACGTAAATTTACACCATACAGATTCCGATAAATTGCAATTAATTGGAACTGCTGAGATACATTTTTTTATGATAATTGCAACGCCCCCACCACGGGAATTTCTGTCCCAGCGAAACACTCTGTACCCAGGAGGAACAACCATATCATTCGGAATATCGTTGTTTAGCCAAGTCTCTGTTACGATCAACACAGAGGGAGATCTCGACAGCAATAAATGTTCGAGTTCAGTTACCTTATTAACAAGACTACGAGCATTCAACAGGAGAAGCACTAGCTACGCATGTGACGGTGCAGCCACTGACCCTCCCACCGGGGCGCCGCCAACGCTGTCAGAGTTGCGCGTTGCTGCTGGCGATCCTTTAGCATACCGCTCCTTACGACATGGTTGGCGTTCATCCCGGTTGTAGTCCCAAGTAAATAAGCTTTCGCCTACCTTCAATTTGTCATAAACTAGCGATACCTTCTTTCCGCTGCCCCTGTCCGCAGCTGCGCTGTCCCACAACTTTTTCCGCACCGCGACCGTCTCCTTCGAATAATCATTGCTCACGCTAATAGAAGTTCCCTTCAGTTTGCTGCAGTTTCGGAGTATAGTATCTTTTTCTTTGAAATCGTAGAACCTCATTATGACTGGTCTAATATGCCCCGGCCGTTGCTTGCCCAATCTATGAATTCTTTCAATTGTTTTAACATGGACGTTCAGTTTTTTGCCAAATATATTGTCGACTACAGAAACTTTCAGGTCTGACTCCGATTCCGGGCTGCCTTCCTTTACGCCAAAAACCAAGAGGATATTGCGTCTACTTCTGTTTTCAAGTTCACTTAGCCTTTCTGCCTGTGTTTTTACAGTATGTTCCAGAACTTCAATTTTTGCGTTGAGTTCTTGGACTGAAGCAACTAAGCCAGCCAATCCATCGGTATTTGTCTGTATCTGGGCTAATTGATCATGAATGCCAGTCAACCGACGGTCAAATTTCCACGGCCTGATTTTCCAAAATAGTCTGTAGCTGCTGGGCCGCAGTAGGGCCGGGGTTTTCTTCGACATCCCCCGCCATCAACAACCGCAGCAACACAGACCAGCAATCAACAAGAATCAAGGAACATCTATGAGGGCACGGCAGGACAATCAAAAATTTATTATCACTACGGTTAGTGACAACAGTAGTTTGAAAACCAACCTGGAAGACGAACGGCGGCAGTTTAGGCATTTCGTTCGCATGGACGTTGCCGTGCCCTCTGAGGAGTTGCTTGATGTGCTACTCTTTACTGAAAGAGTGAAATTGATCAGTTTGCCAACTCAACACGTGCCTCTCACAGGCGTGTTCGTGGACGTTTGCTTTCTTTCGAACAGGTTCTTTCGTTCCACCCGCAGCATGAAAATTTCCACTCTAGACGGCAGCAAGGGTGCACACACAGCATTCTTGTGCTTTCATTTGGCTTCTATCAAATATTGCCGAAAAAATGTTAAGACAGATGTTTACCAGGGGCATTCGCATCATGGAGGCAACGCGACTGTTATTAAATACGTCGTCAGCGTGGTGAAATTGAATCTAAGGCATCTTATTTGCGTGGTGATCCTACTTTTACTTCTGCGGGCGTGTGTGCATAGTCTGCGCGATAAATCTGATAGATCAATTGTGCTGCTCCACATGTTCTACTTTTCGGCAAGAGCAATCGTGGTGGGAGTAGCCGATCGTCGTGGGCATCGGTCAATCAAACTTATTAACACATCAACTCGGGCACAAACTCGTTGATTCTAAGACGGCCCCAGTTCCACTCATGACTGAGATTGTGCCGTTGTAACTCTCAAGCATTTGATGCGATGAACGCTATGTGGCAGCTTCTGTGCTTATAAAATATGGCAGATCTGACGCACCTTGGAAATCGATGTTATGCGAAGCATGCGGAGGAAAGGTGAGCGTGTCGCAATTTTTCGTTTGACCGACATGTCATCAAATGACTCCAAATATATGTACAAATGTCACACGCACAGGCATATATGAAAGTGTTGCAGATGTTTATGCAACCAGTTCTTTGCACTTGCGCAACGATGCCAACAGGGACATCCGTATAAGCAACACCAGAAGCTGATATGAAGCACTGATGCTCGCGAGGATGATGGCCCTGGACACTGCTACATAAATCAATTTCAGCGCATGGCACCTAACCACAAGTGCCATTAATTCAACATGACGGCTGTATCAAAGGAATACATGTGTACTGTTCATAAAATTGGGTAGGCAGTACTGCAACCACTATTGACGTTTCACGAAGATTAAAGTATATTAAAAAAGTAGTTGCGAGACCTGGCGTAGCTCTCAGGCAGATTGCTTCATTGCCACGCAAAATGCTTGGGTTCAATTTCAGCTCTGACTCTGACATCTATTTTTAGCATTCTTCGGGTTGACGCTACCGAGGCCAAATATTTCTTAACACTCGCGCGTTAAAATTTTCCATGTGCGTTTTCGTCGTTCTGCGGTAGATAGTGTCAGTCACTTATGGTACATACGCGCATATCAGTGGCACATACTCGCCCGTGGGTATGTGCCACTATTTGGCGGGAAATGTTTGACGACGTATGTGACGGGAACGTGACATTATTCATCTTTTGACCAGCGCGTCATATTCGTCAAGCCATCTTACCCCCTCATGCTAATTTTTGTTCACGCGAAGTTAATGGGTGACCACGAGAGTACCCAAACGTAAGCGGCTAGATAGATAGATAGATAGATAGATAGATAGATAGATAGATAGATAGATAGATAGATAGATAGATAGATAGATAGATAGATAGATAGATAGATAGATAGATAGATAGATAGATAGATAGATAGATAGATAGATAGATAGATAGATAGATAGATAGATAGATAGATAGATAGATAGATAGATAGATAGATAGATAGATAGATAGATTTTGATTGCATTTTTTGACTGAGGTTGAACGACAATTACACTGATCTGTTTTGCCTTTATTGATAGGGTTTCAATTGAAAGGCGACTGTCTCGGGCGCTTAGTAAACTAAAGATCAGCATTAAACCATTAAACGTAATCCTGATCAGCACGATTCTAATCAACATATTATTAGTAAGGACTAATTAGCATAGTTTCACTTAGCGTGCTCACGACTAACGTTGCGGTTTTAGCATAGTTTTGTTAGCTCACGAACCACGAACTAGCATGCTTCAGTTAGCCCGGCCCTAGCTTTACAAAGCTTCATTGGCAAGGTATTCTTAGGATGTGCCGTAATTACCTTGGCCTTTCCACGACTTGGCTTATTAGCTTGGTCATAGCATGCCCTGGCCTAACTATCACAGTACACCGTCGAGCCAAATAGCTATTCAGCCAGCCAGATGTCCTCGAAAGGCATCGGTGATGACAAAAAAAAGAATACGCGCACCAGCCGAACAGCGCACTAGAATGTACAGACCAACTATGATGATTAACACGTGGCTTATGTTTAGCTTAGCTGTGGTGGCGATGTTGTAAGACGCTCGGCCAGTACTGACCTCAAAGCCCACCATGTTGATTATTCTAAAACAGTCTTAACCCAGACATAGAAGCTTAAAAATGAATTGAAACACCCGGTGCTTCTGAAATATAGCATCACGAAACGTTTCCGACACATTTTTTGCATGGGTTTACATCTGCACTCAGTGCACAAGTGCACCCATGCACTTATGCACCCATTACTTCCGACAAAATAATGAAAAAAATGCATCTGGTTTGAAAACACCACCCAGCATACTCGATCGTCGTTGACGCGATAACTGGTTTCATCGTAACCAATGAAACACAGGGCGCTGAAGGGTGGATTTGACTTTTTCATACTGTTGGCTCATTCGTGAGGGTGTTGCTAGAGCTAGGAAGGATCCTGAGTTTCGCGAAACTCGGTCGATCCTGCATAGCATCCCTGTTCCCAGCCTCTGTGGTAGAGATTTAATACGAGCATTGTTCATACTTCCGAGTGAGTTCCTCGGAACAGTCGAATAGTTGTCAGTTGCTGGCGACAGACTCTGCACAGAGTTTCATGCACTTTTCGAATCTGGGCTCACAAGGGGCCTCCAGTTAAATTCCATTTTTTGGAAGGAGCCCAAACTTAGTTTTCCACGTGAAAAAGGAGAAACCAAGGTGGAACGCTTACTGAGTGAAAGCATATTATTGACTATAGCACATTCAGAGTAAGTGGTAACAATAGTGCCAGTACTTAAGAAACACGGGTCCTTCTGCATCTGCGGTAATTTTAAAAGCACATATATCGCTGCGTGCACAATCGAGCGATATCTACAACCTTACATTGTGGATATCTTCGCGTCACTTCGTGAGGGCTTTCTTTTCACTACATTGAATCTGAAGGACGTCTATACCCACTTCCCCTTAGATGAGAAAGCGAAGGTGCTGGCCCTGATAAACAAGCACAAGGAGCTGTTCTGCTATGTCCGCATTTAATAAATAGTTACCTCAGCTCTCTCGATCCCTCAATTTTTCAGTGGTGCATGAGAACTGTAACGGCTGACCTTCCAGCCATACTGGTGTACATGGACGACGTATTATTAGCTGAGCGTCAACAAAGTAACGACTCTGTACGCCGGGATGTTTTGCACCAGCTGCAGAAAAGGGCTGTTAAGCTGAAGGCAGAAAAATTTCACTCCGTAAAGACTCAATTGTCTACTTTGGCTACCGGATCAGCAAAGGCAGCTTGCACCCGCTGGAAATGAACCTCACTACAATATATGCGCGCATCGCGGCCTACAAACGTGAATGAAGTGTGCTCATTTTTGTGTGTGCTGTCGTGTTATGAAGTTACTGCCACGCATGTCAGCGATGTTTGCCCCCCCCCCCTCTTTATAATCTACTCAAAAAAGAGCATTCGTAGGTGTGGGGTGCAACTAAGGAAAATTCTCATCTCAAGGCGAAACGAGAGCTTCTGACGCCTCAGAAGGTAATCAGTGCTGACATATCCTCAGCCCGTCGAATCAGTGTGGTTGGACAGCGATGCCTCACTCTCTTGTTTAGGTACCGTCATCTCGCACCGCATGGACAGCGTCGATAAGCCCATCGCCTTTGGTACACTCACACCGACGCACACCGAAAAAAATTATTCGGAGCTCCAGAAGGAAGCTCTGGCACTGGTGTTCGGAGTCTCAACGTTTCAACACTACTTGTTTTGCCACGACTTTGTGCGGGTGCTGGATGGCTAACCACGTGTGGGTCTTCTACTTGAAGATTGACTGCTACCTCGAATGGCTTCTGCACGTATCTAGTGGTGGGCCCTGTTCCTGAGCCAATGCCACTACCGCATCAAGTACAGGACCAGGAAGCAATGCCGATGAAGACGCATTTAGCCGTTTGCCATTGCTGACACCAGAGGTTGTCTACTCTGGAACCTTGCCAGAATACGTGCTGTCTAGATGGCATCTTGGCAGTTCGTTTATTCTAGCGGGAACTTTGAGGGCATCGATGAGTGCGGACAAAGCTATTTGTGTTCTCCTTTCGCCATGTCGCAGTCACATTCAGTCTTTTTTTTTTTTTTGCAGAAATCTGGAACTGTCAACCGTAGAAGGTCTACTCTACTGGCGTCATCGATAATTAAACAGCGTAGCCATTGATGGCGTCACGCGGTTAGCATAGCCATATATACCTTGTGTAGCACCGCCATATATAGTATGAGTAGTAAGAGCTGGGACAAAGAAGATCAGCGTGAGTAGGAAAGGAAATAGAGGAGAGTGCCAATGATAGCATAGCCGGGTAATATGAAGTCTAAAAGGCCATGTATGTTACCGCTGTCATCTCTAGCAATCACTGCTCGGTACCTCCTAGATATTGAACACTGAGTGAAGCGGCCAACTTGTCTTTAAAACGATCTTGTAACTTCACTGTAAGCTGTACATATTGCCCACTTGCATGATTTTAGTTTGTGAAATATTTTATAACACAAAAGTGTTTTGCCTGGGTCCACGAAGACTTCAGTGATGTATTTCTGTCACAGAAATGGCGAGTAAAACCAGCGCTTTTATTTGGCAAACAGAATAAGTTACGTCACGGGTGTCATACTATCGAATAATTTGACCCACAACGACAGTAGACGGACCAGTAATCCAATGTACCTCGGTCAGAGACAATAGGAGGTTTAAAAATTGGCCCTGTATTTGCATGTTACACTGCATATGTTGTCGATAGACGATAGTCTTGCATTTGGAGAGAGTGAACAAAACGTTTATTTGATGTTCTGCGCAAGAAAACTAGTGAATGGTATTCTGGAGGCGCTGCGTTAGAGTAACTCGAGCATGCAGCAGAGGCGAACGAGCGCATCAAGTCAGGTCACGCGTGAGAAATGAGCATTATCCGGCAGTTATCCTAGGAAAATGAAGCGCGTGGCACGCACGCCCATCTCTCAGGTTATAAGGTGTAGAACACAAGGCGACGGGTTGGTGCCACCACCGTGTCGTTTTAGCAAAGCGTTGGAAACACTTGCCTTTTCGTGCAAGCGTTGCAAACGCTGCGGCTTTTAAAATTACTTATGTATGCCTTTTCTAGTAAAACGTGCACATACATAATATTGACGTGTTGTTATGGTGCCTGAAATATGCGCAATAATTGCTTTTTATTGACAATCACACAAGTATGAAGGCTGAACCTTCAGCAATATTGGTGGGTGCTGTGGATGGGGTCGGCCGTTTGAAGTATCATTTGGTCGCTTTGGGGCCGTTTATATGGTACCCTTAAGGGCAGACAAAGGGACAAATGCACAGACAGACAGACAAAAATGTTTGCGTCGAAGGTCACCAACAAAGACTATTGTCTTTAAAACGCGCTTTCCGTGTCAGTTTTCCGTCCGCAGTGATCTTGGTCGGAGGAGCGGTGTTGCCCACTGGGAGTGCTAAAGCGAAATTACCCGTGCACCATTACTCCGACCTCCCCGATTACTTCTTACACTGCATCAATTCTACACATAGTACGCCTGTTTCACTCAGTGGGATTTCAATGGGAGAAGTGCAATTTTTTCACACCTTGACATACCGTGGGGCAGCGATTTGAGCCTCAACGTCGGCATGTACACAAAAGTTTGCTCTGTGACATGCGCCTGCCTGATTTGGCTTTCGTGTCCCACGCGAACGCTATGTCTAACTGTGTGGAGTCCTTAACCCCTCGTTCTGCACTCATGCTCACCCCGAAAAAATCGTGGACGAGCTGCAGGGCAGATACAATACCCGTTTGTGTTCCTTGTCCAACCGTGGTGTTCAACGGTTTTTTGCATGCCGCGAAACGGTAATCTTATTCCCAGTTATACGCCCGATTTGCGACGCTCTTCAAGCTATCGCACAGCTTTCTCCGATTAGGTTTTTACTACTACACCGTCAAGCATCAACATTGTTACACGGTGCCACAAAAGCAGAACACCAATATATATTGTGGAAACTTCTCTACCAATGTACGGTAAACATTTAATCAATTCTGTAACGACACATGTTGCTTTTGTGCTATACTGATTTGTGTAATGAAAGAATCTACTGTGTTTTAAAGGCAAATCACCTTAGGGTTTAGGCTCAATGGTTCTCAATTGTTCCTTGTCCGGCAATGAAGATGACGCTGATGGCGATATGGAATAAGTGCGTTAGCACATGCGCAGCACATGCAAAGTGCCCACTATACGCGATGATTATGACGATGAGGCTCATGATGATGACAATGAAGAAGCGGGTAAGCAGAGGCAAAGTAACTAATGACAACAGCGCCCATGAAGCATTCTCTTTCGGCACGAATGAAAACGAACGTAAGGCGTGGGAAGCGGTGGCAGGCAGAACGACTAAAAAAACACTAAGAAGACTAGGAGTCGAGGGACTCGTACTGCTCGGAGACTTCAAAGTTGACGAAACGTTCAGTATATGGCGTCTCGATGCGTCCTAAGATACATTTCGTGTGACTAGAAACATCCCACTACCACCATTAAAACGTGTGTACCTTGCCAACTTGAGGCTATATTCTATAGAAGAACAACTGCCTCTACATTGCACGTACTATAAAGCAGCAATAATGGAGGCAAAACGAAAGCTTTATATCAACACAACATACAAATTACGGACATCACACATTGTATATGACTGTAAAACGCCCTGTCACTCCTTTTTTGCGTTAGGGGGCAATGTCAAGGATGATTTAGTGTAACACCAAACGATCCCACTGCGTCGCGCGCTCACCACCATCCGCTCCGTGAACAAGGCATTATTTTTTAATAGCGCCAGAGCGTGACTTTGCTTCACGTTTTAAGACATTGCACACTGTTATTGCATTGTGCTTGATCATTTAAGTCAGTTTAAGGTGACAGAAAGCTCGTTTAGTCTGCCACAGTTGATCAGTGGTTTCGCTACACGGCTGCTGATCCGTATGTCGCGGGTTTGATACAGGCCTGCGTAGTGTCTGATGTCTGTGTAGACGGCCGCCTCAGTGCGTGCTCAAAGACGGCCTCCTTCTCAACGTCATTGTTTGCGGCATACGTGGAGCTTGATCCAAGCATCGACACAACAGTTTCAGATGAATGTCTTTACAAATATAGTGGATGCTATGTGCAAAAGTTTATTTTCATTATCATTGCAGCATTGACATGATGAACACGTCCCTTTCAGTCACATCATCCAAGACACGACTTGATGTACGTGCAGCATTGGTTTCAATCACGTGTGCCCTAATGATTCAGCCGGCTGCCAGCATACGTTAATGCGTGTATTCATAGTCGGCTAGAGATATTTTTGGAGCCTTTAAGGGAGTGCTTTGAGATAATAACAGCCAATAATACTAAAAAACCACGAAACCCCGGTCTTCATCTGAGGTTTCTTGAAATATTTATTTCGACTTGCAAGCCGGCGGTATTATTAAAATACCTCGAGATATCATCAACAATTGTATTACATGATTTATTTGGTTCTCCTGTCAAATAAATAAGCCGATGGTTCCAGAGATGAGCCAATTCTTCGCATCTTCTGTACATTTCTCTGCAACAAAAACAAAGTGAAAATTATTGTTAATAAACAATAGAGTGGTTCAATATCCACTTGCAAACAAACTTGTAGATATGTGAGTACTGATTTCAGTCAGTTTGGCAGTATCATATGAAAAGGCGTTAGTGAAGTACTGGTTTTTGAGTAAGATAAACAGACCAAGCGACTACTTCCAAATACGTGAAAAAAGTTTGTGCATCGCAAATTATTGAGACCACAAAGGCCATGGGAAAAACGTGTGAAAAGTTCATCATCTCAATGAATGCCATAGCGCACATCTAGTGCTACGGGATTTTGACAACAAAATTCTTTCCGGGAACTTGGGCGAGCGCATTGTTCCGCTTCAGAGTGAGTGAAAACAGAGTGCTTAAATGTGCTCGTTCTGTTCATCTGTATGTATGTATGTATGTATGTATGTATGTATGTATGTATGTATGTATGTATGTATGTATGTATGTATGTATGTATGTATGTATGTATGTACGTATGTATGTCCATTCAGAGTAGAGACGAGTGCATCGTTTGCTGCAGTGGTCGCCATTACTTCGATCACTACTCAAAGCGCACACTGCAAGTGCGCGGCTTCATAGCCTTTCGCTCTAGAGTAAAGACATCTACTGCTCTAACTTCCTTCACAAACGCAAAATCGTTCGTTGATGTTGCTAGTTATGAGTTCGCAGGCACGCATCTCAACAAGTAAACGAATGTTTCGCGCATGAAAGTGTTGCTGAACGCATGGAAAGTGTTGCAGAAGAGAGAGAGAGATAAATAAAGAGGAACGGCAGGAAGGTTGCAGAACGTATCGATCCTGACTGGCGGAACGCCCACTAAGCTGCTGGCTACGGCTGAGTGGTGCATAGCTGCAGGCATCACTATTCAATTTTATACTTTGCGGTTGGATGATTTTGTGTGTGCTTGTGTGTGTTTTGAAGGCACTACAGGTTAGCTTTGTTAAGACAAGCTACATATGCGGAACACTGTGTATTAGAAAACAGTGATGGAAGGGTATGACTCCCTGGACTGCCGAAACTAAAAGTGGTGTATTGATGCGCATGTCATTAGGGCACAGAATATATGTTTTCATGTACGTATGACGTTATTCCAGCTCGAATTTTCGAAGTTCGACACTTAATATTGGGACACGCACTGTAAATGTCCCCGTCTTTCTTAATATGAGCTTGACGCGCATCTATGAAACAAATGAATTAGTCAAACAAAAAATCACAGCATATCCATGGGAGTGTACGATGAGTGGAGTTAAACCCCCGTATGTTCATTCGTCCGTGCATGCGTCTGTCCACCCATGCATGTGTCCATTAGTCTGTTCGTCTGTACGCCCGTCCGTTCTTGTGTCCAACTGTCGGTCCATGCATGTGTCCGTTTGTCCATTCGTACCTGCGTCGCTTTGTCCATCCATCTTTGTCAGTCTGTTCGTCAATTCAACGACCTGTCTGTCTGTCTGTCTGTCTGTCTGTCTGTCTGTCTGTCTGTCTGTCTGTCTGTCTGTCTGTCTGTCTGTCTGTCTGTCTGTCTGTCCGGACATGCTGTGCTGGCTTGCCGCATTAGATAAGAGGTTCTGTCATATGTGTGATTGGCCCACTTGTGAATGTGTTTGATATTGTTTTTCGCAAGGATCACTCGTGACAAGGTGGACCCGAGCGCGTCTCTTAATACAACTAAATATTATTATGCCTTTGTATCACCAGTCTGAGTTGAGTGTTTATTGCATATTTTGGACGAACTTGCATCAGGATTTTACCTGTAATAGTAACTACAGGTACATTACTGATGCAACTTTTTTTTCTTGTTTTCGTTTCCATGAAAGTGCTAGCACCATGAAACGGCAGCATATAGTGTTCCTATTTTCTGCACGAGATTCCTTTGTGAACATTTGAAATTCAACTATGAAAGCATCAATTCAAACTACAAACCTAGTAAATTTTGTTAATGCCTCTACTCACAAATTTGTAAATCCCTGATTGACACCTGCTCAGCCGTGGAAGCCACCGAAGTGACCACCACCGTAGTGGCCACCGTAGGAACCGGCGTAGGTGCCTGCGTAACTGCCAGCGTAGGTGCCGCCGTAGTGGCCACCATAGCCCCCAAAGCCGTGTCCGATGCCTCCACCGTAGCCGAAGCCACCGAGACCTCCACCGAAGCCACCGAGACCTCCACCGAAGCCGCCACCAAGGCCGCCCCCGTAGCCGCCACCGAAGCCACCACCGTAGCCGCCGCCGAGACCTCCGAAGCCCCCAGCGGCAGCAATGACGAAAGCGACAGAGAAGACGGCGAGGTGGAGCTTCAAAATTGAAAGTCAAAATTACTGAGGAAAAAGAACTGAGTTTCCTAAAGTTGTATGATTTAGCTCGAAAACAGACTTGTTACCTCGTTAGGGGAAGTGAATGACAGAAAATGACCACTTGAAAATGAATTTATGGTAAAAAAAGTTTAGTGGCATCCGTTTATCAAGCATATTGCCCAAATATTGCTTTTAAAACTTCGCGACTGCGTTGTTTTTTTCTCGAGAGAAAGGAGAACGAGAAAGAGTGGGTTGGGCTGCCTGCTTTTTTGGCGTTCTATAATACAAAATAGCATTCCGAAGCGATAGTACATTGCACTATCATCATATTGTCGACAGAATCGATGATCATTTCACGTGATCTTAAAATACGATTATTGCATAAATATAAAATGCATTTACAGAAAAGTACACCGCCTGAGACGTAATTAGTAATCCGGTCATTTCGCGGATGCAACACAAAGTAGAAGCCTCACCACGGCCTTCATGGTGCTCTTCGTTCGCAGTGGAGCGTTCAAGTCTGCCCCGTGGCTTTGCAACGAAGGCTTTTATAGTGCACGCAGCAGAGCGGTACTCGCACAGTGTCCAAGCTCTTGCCTACGCAAGTTGATCTCGACGCGCATGTGATAAGCTGGTACCATCATGCACGTGACCTTGTAGTGGCGATGTAACTTGTACGCTGCCTTCAGAATATGCATAGATGTTGCGTGAGAAACATTTAAATCTCGCTCATATCGAGATGCCTCGAAAGGAGCGATCTGTTTATGTATTCAACTCGCAGTCCTCCATGTGCTGCCTGGTGGTGCGAAAAATTGTTGGCACGTTATCCATTAATGTTTTTCAACTGCTTTGTTCTTGATTCAATGTATTACTTTTTGCACACTTGTAAGTGTGGAGCACCTTAGGTGTTTAGGCTGTCAAATGTTGTCATATTCTCTCTTCGTTTGCTGTATTAATCGTGTGATGCCTCTTTTGGCTAAGCTGAGGAAACGATGCGTAGCGTAGCGGCGATCGCATAGCCGTTTATAGTAAGTGTAGCAAGAGGGTCAAAAAGTCAAGTGACTGTGAGGAGCACGCCAAGAAAAAAAAGTGGGAGGGTAAGACATAGCTACTTCCGTCATTTGTGTCAGGTTGCCAAAACGATATATAAAGCCATGTGTATAATAATATAGCAAAGGGCTGTGAAGGGAAGGGAGGGTGAGGAGAATTTGAAAAAAAAGGAGGGAAGATCGTCTACCATAGTGTAGCCATGCAATGCGTCATCAGGCTGAACCATGTAAAACACAGCCATCTATAGCATATCCCTGTTTAGTAAAGCATAGCCAGGGGTTAGAGAGGAAGTTGAGTGAGTGAAATAGTGATGTGATCATGAAAAGCGGGTAAATCGATCCTGGGAGTGACATCGTGACATAGCTTTGTGTAGAACAGTAACGAAAAAGGGCGGCAAAAGGAAAGGAACGGTAAACAGGTGGAAGCATACAACAGGCGTGTACTGCATAGCATACAAATGGGAGTAGGGAGGCAAGTGGGAGTGAAGAGGGCCGATGTGTTGGTGAGAAAGAATACGGTATGGTAGGAAAGGGCGGAGCATCGCACAGTCATGTAGATTACATTACACCAAGGGATGTGAAAGTGAAGTGGGGGTAATGCTGATAAATGTGAGTGTCAGTATGGCAGGCTAAGGCATAGCAGTATCATTGTAGTTCAGTATTCTAATGGAGAAAGGGAAGTGAAGATGAGGAGTAGAGAACAAATGAAGGAAACTATTAAGCATAGAATAGCTATAAATAGTACAGTATTGCAAGAGGTGAGGAGGAGAAAGATGTAAAGGAGGAGAAGAAAAAAAACAGCACATAGCAATGTGTAGTAGAGAATAGCAATGGGTGAAAATGGAACTCTTGGTGATGAGGAGATGTCTAAAGGAGAGGAGAGGTTGTGCCCCTGAATCACAAATGAAGGTTGTTTTCTTCGTGATAAAAGCGGAGGAAGCTTCCAATGGCAGTGCGTGCTTGCCCGTGAACGCAAGCGTTGCCGAAGGGCAGGCAAATCGCTGCCCGGAGTTCACGAACGCTCGAAAGTAGAGTGAAGCTGCATACATTTTTAGGGGCGAAGCTCCTTTTGTTGTGGGTCGTGCGTCCGCATGTATCTGAAAGTAGTAGTAGTAGCAGTAGTAGTAGTAGTAGTAGTAGTGGTAGAAGTAGTAGCAATAGTAGTAGTAGTAGGTAGCCACCTCCACGGCCGGACTAGTGGAGCGGCAGGCGCGCACTCTTTTGAGTTGATGAGAAAACCCACTCACGCTATTCCCAAATAAAGAGACAGTTGTTCCTAATGAAATTATCTTCAGAGACGAGTATGGGTGAAATATTCTCTAATAATCACCAATAAAAATTGCCTTGAATGTGATGCTTACTAAAAAAACTAGTATCAAAGGACGCCCTTTGAGTACAATCTGATCAGAAAAGGTTGCCACGTTAAACTCCCTGGGTGTAAACTCCTTGGTTTTAGCAAAATGTAGCGAGGGTCGGGCCACAGTGCCATGAACTAGCAGTGGTGAAAGATGGCAACTATACATGAATAGTTCGGCTGTGCTACCTTTCGTTAAGTCCTTGGAATATCCGCTGGATGGCGGTACTTTTTAAGATGAATATATATAGAAAAGATGCAATATAGTGGTACACGGAGGGTTCACTACTTGGACAGACGGATAGAGAGACGCACGGGTGTATGGAACGACGGATGCACCAACGAATGAACCCACAGGCAAACGCACGAATGGACGCACGGAAGGACAGACACGTTAGCGTATGGTTGGACGGACACAACGATGGACCTATGGACGGAAGGGTGCATGGGTGACTCACCGACGAACGAATGGATGGAGGGATGTTTTCCCCCGCTCATGATCATGCTCTCCGTTTATATGCTGTGGTTTTGAAGGACTGTGTTATCTCCTCGCGTTAGGTTATAAATGCATTCTAGACTTGGGCTGTTTGAGGTTATGAACTGCTTTCTCTTTTCAGTACTTTACAAGAGTGTAGAATTATTTGTACATTTATAAAATACCGCAGTGTTTTCCTCGATGCATAATCCATTATTTTACTTTGTGGTGACAGAATGATCGATTGGTCCCCGTGTTGAATCAATAGTTAAGTGCTCTGCTGCTGAACGGGAAGTCGTGAGTTTGATCCCAGATATAACGGTCGCATTTCGGTGGAGGTGAAATGGTGGAGCCCCATGTACTTTGTGATGGTACATCACGCTGAACAACACCTTGTAGTGCATGATCTTCCTCATCATCATCATCATCGTCATCATCGTTTTCTTGGCCACCACGCCACCCTTCTCGCACAGCTCATGATAGCTAGAGCTGCGCGAGAACTCAGAACGGCAGAGCTCCTGGCCTTGCTGGCTACGGCAGCTGGAAAGCCGTCTACACTCGCGTCCCAAATAAAATCTGAGATCAAGGAATGGTCTCAAGCGCTGTCGTCTCGTCTCTCATACCTCAACATATGGTGACCCCGGACTATCGGACAAGCGACCAGCACTGCACCGCTGCCTCTCAGCTTCTCGGCCATGTTCCAGCCAGCTTAGGCCTTGCAGCCTCACTTAGACCCGCTGTGCCACCGTTCCGGACATGAAGGACCTAGTAATCTAAAGGCGCGCACATCAACGAGCCATCGGCTGCCATGTTCCCGCGGCTCTGCCCTCCAGTGATGCCGTTCCAATAGACCTACCCCGAGGTATAGTTTATGCAGCTCGACGCCGTTCTTGCGGTGAATGGCGTCACAGACTAGCCGCTGATGCACGCCGTTCTTCTCGAAGGCCCTCCGGTATAACTGCGTATTCTTGCTGCCACTTCAAGCTCCTGCCCACAGCCGTATGATGACCTCTGCTTTGCGGTACTGGCCTCTCACGGCCTCATCTACAGCCCGCTTCTGTTGACCCGTGACTTCCCCGTTTCGTGTGAGTCAAAGCAATCGGCATCCACCGGCAATCAATCCTCATTCGGCCAAGACTTCTCTTTTCCAGGAGACGCGAGTCCTGCGATCGACTGGCCATTCGACGAGTTTTAGGAAATTCGTGCTGCATGCGACCAGTCAGCCACGAGGTGTTTCTTCAACGTCCTCAGCCGACGATATTGTAGGCCTGCTGACCACCCGCTTGTCCTGGCTGACCTCTGCGGCCAACAAAACTTTTTACATGTCAGGCTTCATGACGGCAACCCCGCCGCACGGCCTAGAGCCTGCCACAGACTCTGTTATCACCCGGCCGGTCATCAACCGACCCGACCATTTTATCTGACTCGACGCTCTGTCCGATTTGTAAGCAGCGACCAGTCTCGCCCTCTCATGTCTCTCGCAGCCGAAGTTAAAGCCACGAGCCATCAACCACGGCCAAACTTCCTAGACGCTTGCGACTAGGACCAACGCTGATGAGGATGATGTGCCTGGTCCGCCTATGGCACAGAAGACCGCACATGCCACGCCTGCCATAGAGACACCCATCTATCATACTGGCCTGCGCACGAGACTTCGTGCGCAGACTACCGAAGCTGGTTCCCCAAGTCAGGGTGTGCTCCACTGAGCCTCGTCCAGATTCCACACCTTCTCGATCTCATGACATGCCTCGTACCGAGTTCTTCACGAATACCGTGAGCCAGTATTCTTGTAACTGGAATGTAGGCACGCCCTTTTACCTAGCCGCAGGCGTCATTCACCTCTAGCTGACGTGCACAATGCTAATTACCCACTGCCAACCTAAGTGGTCAAATCCACTCATATTCGGATACCACTCAAGTCACGACACCTGCGTAGAGACATCGGCGTCAGCGCTGTGCACGTCTGCGAAAGCACCATCGAAGCCGTTGCTTGTCGAGGGTAGTCTGCAAGACTTCACTATGCTACTTCTAATTGCTTCGCGCGCAGGGGCCACACCAGCTTTTTTACACTCGCCTTCACCTCACCATTAAGGCACCTCTACCTGCAGTGCTCACTCGTGACACCCTGTGCGCCCCCAACCAGCAGGATTAAAAAAAAAACTCTGGGAACCCTGGGAACTAGGCGGCTCACCTGAATGCTCGAGGTTTTTTCAGCCGGATAGGTGAGCCGCCCATTCGAGGGAGGTCCGCGAGAGACTGGACTGGTGTCCTTTCACGACATAACGAATCATTATAAACTAGAGCGGAGGTTCCATCCGCCCCCGCACAAGCGGTTGACTAAGGCGCAGGAATGCGTCTGTAGAAAAGTGCAGACGCAATCTTTTCGCAATCCTTACGTGTTGAACAAAATATACCCGGAGTAGATAAAGTCACAATGCAAATAGTACCAGGCTGTGGCATCAGTATGATCACATACTTTGGGAATGTAGCATAGTGCCTGCCGCCGGTACATAATATACGTGATCCCTCACTTCAGCACTGGGAGGCTGTGTTGACCAGCTCAGATCCAGTCGTCCCGTTAAGGGTCGTGGAGTGGGCCACACAGGTCGCCGCCAACCATGAGTTGGTGGCC